TTCGCCGAGATCTGGACAAGCGTTAAACGTCGATTAAACGTCGAGAGATAGCCAGGGTGCTTAAAACCGCGACGCGTTCGTTCGCAACGTCTCGGCGAGACGACGATCGAACGGGGACGGTTCGTCGCGATGATGTTCCTTCGGGGGTAGAGCGCTTTTCTCCGGTGCGAAACGCGAAAGACCAGAGAGAGGAAACGCGCGAAGGAAAGGCGGCGGTAGGGTCGAAAACGGAGAAGGACGGGCGAGGAGGGGGCAGGACGGGGCGGGACCGAGTGGAGAAATCCAAGCGGGGTCCGGTGGTCTCGTTTCCGAATATTAATTCCAGTCCCGTCATCTCGAGTCATCGTCCGAGTGCGCGGGTCGAGACGAAAGCCAGGTGCATCGAGACGGATCGAGGTCGTCGCGACGAGGATATTAATTGCGATGCGTCGCGTACGAGAGAGGCGAAAGCGAAGTCTCTTGGATGGCTTCTTCTTATTCTTACGACGTCGCGGCGATTGATTCCGACAAGCATAACCGGACGGCGCGTAATCGGAATAATCGACGTGGATGGAAGGGCGTCGAACGGAAACGATCGACGTACCGATTCCTCCCGATTCGGTTCGTTTCTCCGTTGCCTGGTCTCCGCGCGAGTTGATCGAGGAAGAGGAGGTGGCAGCGAGGGTGGTGTGCCGCGTACGTAAGACCGAAGCCGGAAAAGTAAAAGCACACGAGCAAAAGCAGCTGGATACTTTTCACGCGGAAGCTCGAAAAGCCTATTGTGCGTCGCGGTCTTGATAGAGGGTCGCGCGCGGTCGGTCGAGATGGCTTGCCGCGATACGCGATCTAGCGAGATCGCGACGACCACCGTCGACCGTTGGGGTTCGACCGTCGAGACACCGTGTCCGGGCCACGCGATCGTGTCGGGAATTAAGAACGAAGGCGGCCAGCTACTACTACCGCTATGCCACCGCCGCCCGCTGGCAGGTGCTCGTGGACCGTATTATTCGCCTTCTTCTTATCGTTCGCCCTCGCATAAATTCAAAGGAAACAACGGGCGAGACGGTGGCACGGCTGTAGCGAGTAGCAGCAACAGCAGCAGCAGCAGCAGCAGCAGCAGAAGCAGCAACAGCAACGGTGGCAGCAGTGGCAGTGGGGCAGTAACAGAGAGCAGCGGTAGCAACGAGAATCGAGGGACCGCGTGTTCCCGTGGTTGGTTCCGTCCCCTTGGCAAATTTTTCTTCGTCCGTCAGCCAAACGATTCACGCGCGCTCGTCCGAAGAAGCGTCGATTCTCGCGCGAATCACGAAGAAGCCAGTCGGGTCGCTTTCGCGATATCGCTTACCCGGTTTTGCCCGGTCCTCCTACGGTCGTCGACGGAAATAGACGATACGCGCGGTAATAAATATCTCCGTATTATAATTAAGCCGCATCCAAGAGTGTGGGATAGACGTTATGTACGAGAGACACGCAGATAGATGGACGACCGAATGTACGCGCCACGGTCGTCGCAGCTAGCGCGAGCTCGCGCGAACTCGACGAGCGGTGAGAGGATTGCCAGTGTGGAAGGAGGAAGACGAGAAGGAGGTGGCGAAGGAGGTGGAGGAGGGTGAGGAGGAGGAACGCGACGAAGAGGAAAAGTCGTAGAGTCGAAGAGTCGGAGAGACAGGGAATTTCTCTCTCTGGTCGCGATCTCGGCAACGATGGCGCGCTTAGCAACCGTAACTCGTGGTAGTTATCGGTAGTGGACAGTTATATCGACGCGGTTGGTTGGAAGCGTACGCGCGGATGGCGTTTCAGTGGCGCGCGCGCGGCATCGGCTCGCTACGCGAGCGAGGAACGAACGCGGCCTTGTCAGCCCGTCCGGCACGTCCGTCTGTTGCTCCTTGAGTGGCAGCGATTCATTCCGCTCTCCTTGCACTCCCGTGTACCGCTCGCATCCACCGCTCGCATCCACCGCTCGTTTCTTCGAGCCAAACCAACGACCAAGCGCACCGCGTTCTAACACCGAAACGCGTCGCGCGCTTTTAGCACCCAAGCCACACATCCTCCACCCTTGCTCCGTTTTCCCTTACCGCCAATCTCCGCTACGATCCAACTCTGCTTCGACCTGCCTTCTTATTATTCTTATTACCATTATGATTATTATTATTAGGCCGGAACGCGTTCGGTTCGAACGGTTTTAACAACCGGGGCGAAACCCGTTTCTCCGTTCCGATTAATTTTCAGCCTGGATATTTTGCCGATACGACGACGCGTAATTGAAAGAGAAGAAAAATATCGATTCTTATGTCGCGGCATAAATTGCCGATTAATCAACGTCGCGCGGTGGCGTATATGCAAACGCATCGATTAGAAAACGAGATTATTAATCGATCGGTATATACACGAGAGATCTTGATCGCGATAATCGAAGAGATCGTCACGGCAAGGTACAAGGCCATCCAGTTCCTCCAACGCTTGGCCTAATTATTCGTCATCGTCGTTGTCCATCGTCGCTGCCGTCGCCATCGTCGTCGTCGTCGTCGTCGTCGTCGTTCGTCGTCGTTGTTACGCTCGTGATCGTGGTCGTGGTCGTGGTCGCCGCTAGAAGCCCGGAAGGATGAAATCAACCGCGGTCGACGATGTCAGCCCTCGCGAGTTGCCGTACAGTCGGTCGTACTTTTCTCCCCGACGACGCGACGGTTCCCGCCGAGCGCGCACTGTTTGGCCAGCAGCCGTAGCCACAGCCGCAGCCGACTAATATCTCGTTCTTTTGTTGCGTTTCGCGACAATTCGCCTGCCTACGCTCGCAACGAATTTCAGGCTGATTATTCGGGGCGGTGGAGTGACGTCGGTTCGCTGGATTAAAATGCTGCTAGTAGGACTCTACCCGCGGAAATGCGAAGGGAGAAACCGTCGAGAGAGGGGGAATATATATATACGTCGCGTTACCCTCGGGGAGTAACGTTGCTAAACTTTCTTCTTTCCTTCCTTCCTTCCTTCCTTCCTTATTTTCTTCCCCCGTTTTCTCCTCGATCGCGATCCTCCCCAAAGTTCGACTCCGAGTCTCTGCGATTCCTTATCGCTCGATCGCGGGTACCATTGCGCAGGCAAAAGAATTGCGATTCGATTTTGCGCGAAAGCACGAAATGGAAATAGATAGACAGATAGATAGATAGATAGATGGAAATGGAGAGGGTGGGGGGGGGGGATAAGAAAAAAAAAGGAGAAGGAAAGGAGGGTTAAATTCGCCGATTTAAGAGCAAAGAAATAAACGGCCAGAACGGTGGAGTGTATCGCGCGGAAGCGAATATACTTTCGGAAGCCGAAGAACGACGAAAGCTCGCGAGTGAGCGAGGAGAAGGACCGAGAATCGGTCGTTAGCGCGTTTTACGGCGGCATTAAGCTTCTCTTAAACGACGCACGCAAAGTGCTCCTTTCCACACCCCCTGGCGGTCCTTTCTCGTTCTACCGCCGCCTGTCCTCTCGTCTCGTCTCTCTCTTCCCCCCCCCCCCCCCCCCCCCCCCCCTT